GTCTGGAAGAACACAAAGGCTATTAATCAATTTGAACCACAACATTAAACATTGCCTTTAGTTAATTGAACGACAGTGTTAATTCATACACGTAGGTATCGGGAGTAGCCAGCTTGACCTATGCGCTAGGTTTTTGGGTCAAGGCTGAGCTACTACCTTGCTTTGTCTTTGTCAGTAATATCATAGAATTGTTACTTTTTTCATAGCTTTGACCGATTAAAATAAGTTAAAGAAGGCTTGTGCATACCCGAAAATGATCTATTCTGGCATATATATCTGTAGTATAAAAATGAATCAAAATGTCAAAATGTGTTGGTAAGCGCATAACTCAACAATGCCTATACCAATTTGGCCAATTCTTTTTTTTAAATGTTCGTTGAAGTTCAAAGATGGTTTTACGGCGAGAAAAAATTGAATAATTGCCGGGAACTAATTATTATTTTTTTCATTTCACGTGGATGGAGTCGCGGGCGACAGCTAGTTACTAATAATTTTACTGTTATGAGATAGGAAAGTTTAGATGGATGGATAAATGTTTGTTAGAGGGTATCTTCAGAACCGCTCAACGGATCTCGATCAAATTTGACACAGATGTAGAACAGAGTCGTAAGCAAAAGCTAGTATAAAATACTTTTAGTAGAATCATAGATAATCATAAATCCATTACATGAAAGTACAAGTATATAAGTTGAATAAAACACAATTTTTATTCTTAACACCAATACCTATTACAAAGTTATAAATCGAAAGCGACAGCTTTGGAATAGTTTCAGTGTGTAGCTTTAAGAGCAAAGTTTCCATGTGAGTTTTAAAAGTACAACGAATTTTGTTGCAAAGTTATGTCAAAACAAAAGACTTTATTCGGCCAAAATCGATATCCGACTCATTTTTGCTTATCTGCGGTAAAATTTTTAGTCCAAATGGTTCAAAAACCGGTCACAAAAGATCAGAAAAACAGTTTAAAAACATGCTCTTTTTTTAGACGGCGATCATATAATTTTTGTACTCCGTTACGTATAAAAAAAGGAAAATCATTTTCGGATCGATTTTAAGGATACAGTATTGATATTGACATAAACCGATAGATTGACTGCGCTGCAAATACGAATTGAAATTTTCCTATCCTATCTTCTGTAGGTTACCTCAATGTGACATTTACCTTTTTCAAAGACTTTTCATTTGTAGAAGTTTTTTGTACTTATAAGTACATAGCTTTGTAAGTTTATTTATTGGCCGCCGAGAAGTTTTAAACTTTTTATTGCAATAATGAAAGTGTGTTTTAAACGATGCTAACTATTTCAAAGCTAATAAACAGCGTGTGACGTTGTGGTTACACTTACAAATAGAGATCGAATAAAACTTCCTAATGCATACGATTGTCTGCGGTCATCATTCTATTGTTTGTTATTTTTCTATATTACCGCAAACACAAAAATAAAAACTGTTATTTTTTATACTTGAATTCATTTTATATTGTACTGTTTTATACAGTGACAGTACAGTCAAAGTTAAATGCCGGTTGAGAAGCTTTACGTTAGAACTTTTGTTCACAAGCATATAAGCTGTTTAAAGTCAGTACGGTAATGGTCATAACGTCATAAATTGTAAAACAAAGATCTAAATAACAGTAAATATTATAAAATAAAGATGACTTACCAAGTCGTTGTCCCGTTTGCTGCAAGCAATTGTTTTAGCAATTATTATTTAAGTTAGTAACGTCGTTATTGTCATACTGCAAATGAATTTACTAAAACGTGTTGGTATGCCTATCCTAATATTATGGTAGGCGACTCCGATCGACCGCCCGCACAAATCAATGCGCACGTCAGTGCCGAGAGTTTTCAAATTACCCACTTATCGAGGTCAACTAAAAAATTATTAAATTTACCCTTCTACCTTTACCTATCTATTACTAATTAGGTTGCAAATAACCTAAAAATATAAAACGGTGTGCGAAACATAAATATGCAACTAAATTTAAGATAGAGTTTGACAACTGACGACTATAAGTTACCGAATGAATTTTGTATGATGATTAATTTTGTGCTAAAAAGACAGTTGTCATAGTGTTGCACCCTACGCGCAATGTAAGAACAACTATGAACTATCGAGATTCGGTTTAGTAAAAAATATTAATTGAAGAAATAAATACTATAACTTACAGCTAAATATCTGTAATACGAAATAAGATAAATAAGTCTCCGGCAATGAATTAAAAAACATTAAAAATTCTTTTTGTTCCTCAATACCTAAATTTTTGTATAATATTTTATTTTTCTACAAAGTTTTGAAGAATAAAGCTGGCATAAAAAGAAACAATTAATTTTTTTATTTTAAATCAAAAATTGTAATCAACACAATTTTCGACTGCAAGTTCTATAGAACCATCGAAAATCGAAAATGTTTATAACCGATTTTAATCAACTCATCTCTGGTGAATTAAAACTAATCTACCTTAAATAGACACACTATAGACCAAATAATCCATTTAAATTCAATATCGATAAGTGGTCGAATGACATGTTTTACACCGTAAATCCCGAAGAAATCGAGAAATATTCTATCTGACATGGATATTTCAAGTCCGATTATTATTTATCACCCGGCTGTTTTCTTTGAAGTAAATTTTATATTTCATATAATCTACCGGTGATACTATGGTAATATTATACTTTAGACTTTAAACTGTTCAACAATTGTGTTTTACAATTGTTCGTTTTCGATTCAATTCTATGTATACTTTTGCTACGAAGTATTTTCAACGGTTGTAAAATAACCCTTCCATCAATGTAAAAAAACTTATCAAATTAGCGGTCAAAGCATTTTCTTTTTCAATACTTAAATGTCAGTCAACGACGAAAACATTCATTAGTGCGAAAATGTGTAATTCACTTGAAAACAATTTCTCAACAATCAAAGCGCAATTATTTAGTAAATTCGAACAACTGAAATTATTTTGTGTCAAGAGCAAATTTTCAGCATAACATGAATAATTTGTATAATTGTAGCATTGATAATATACTTGGAATGGCTAGCAGTCTGACGTTATCTGTGACATAACATATTTAGTTGGTTGGTTTACCTTTGGTCGCCATAATAGACAATATCTACTCATAAAGCTGTGGAGTATGGGAGGATGTTTTAATAGATAAAGAAAAAAATCGCCGTGAAAAAATTGTATAATTATAATTTAATTTGTTTCGGGGTGTCTCCGAGGTGTCGGACGGAGTCACGGCCGACAGCTATCTTTGATAATTATGAATTTGACGAAGATCGTTAAATATATTAGTGTTATGTTGGACAACAACACCATACGATAAATTATAACACCGCATTTTAGATGACAATACAGTTTTATTTAATTTTATAACATTAGAATATTAATGAGTTTCTTTTACGGAATTTCTTTAGATAATTTTCGTGTTAAATTTTTATGAATATCTGGGCCTTTTAGTATTCATTACATTGGGTTTGATAAAAAGCTTCTTTCTTCTTAATTATTCATTCAGGGCGTTTTTTATAGTAATTCGTTAATGAATTGTGGCAAGTTTTAACAGAATCAAATAAATTGGAATATTTTAAAGGAATTCTCGTTCATTAACATCCAATTAATACGCTCTAATTAATGCAATTATTTCTTATTCATGTTAATTACAATATTGTATTACTAGATTTTGAAATCATTACCGTTTTTTTTATTTAAAAACATCAGCTGTACAGTAGAATAATTAAATAATACGGAAAAGAATACTTTACATAACAATACTTGAATGAAATCAGTTTACAATGAAAATCGAAACAAGTGAATGGCAGGAAGGCAAAAATAAAAAAATAGATCGATCTAATAAGACGTTCTCGTAGTTTAGTTCAAACTACTTTGAGCGAAAATAAAGACGAATAGACCATTCAGCTTTCATTTGCGAGTATAAAAATTAATGAAATCAGTTATTTAGCAAAAACGCGATATTTTCTAATCTAAAAGAACTTCATTAGGGTTTAAGTTGTATAAATTAAATTTTCTTATGAATGTAAATATAACCTTTTTAATTAAAACAGTTTCAAACGTTAAAGTTAGGCACCGTAAGCATCAAGATAAAACGTTCGCCTAAAGTATTATAATAAAAACAACGATAAATCAGGCACATAACCAGAGCAGGTGAAGCTTTAGTTGCAAAATGCACTCCAACGGCGGCAAAGGAGATGGGGGACAGGGCGCCTTATTGATCCTTTGCCGTCGCGCCACGCCGTGACCGAACATGACCTCCTCTAGTACCCTTGTACTCTACCTGCCCTTTAATAACTCATGATGTCTCATTCCAGTAAAATATTAAGTCTACAACTATGTGAATGATTTGTCGTTGAGAGCGAATTCTGCTTGGAACCCATGATGTAAAATCATGACAAAAAAGTTTTAACTCGTTACATAAAAATAACACTATATACAACCTCATTTCGTAAACTAGGACTTGAAAGACTGTAGGTTTTCAAATATTTACCTACTGAGGTATTCGACTACTGTAACGTTCACATATCTGTGTTTTACACTATTTAAAATAGAAGAAAGAAGGCAAGTTTATGGTTCTACAATGCAATATAATATTAATAGTATCAAAAGGTAATTAAATAAGAAAAGAAGAAGAATATAGCCAATTGTATTTGATCCAGGAGACATAAACAAATACAAATTAGGTCAAAATTTTCCTTATAATGTTGACGCCGAGGAGTTGACAAATTAAGCGCAATTTAAAAATCATGTTCACCCCTAATAATAAAACTCGAACTCGACTTGTTCGAAAAAGATAAATACTGTAGTAATGGTAACTTAGACTGAGCATCATATTCAATAGTTCACTCGTAGTAGACAGTCGTCTCGCGTAAAGTCGAGGTTCTGCTCGTTCGGACGTTAGCTGTGAATTAATCTTTTATTTACGTTTGAATAATTGCTCTTGTAATTGAAAAAAATCTAATAAAGATTTTTCTTATCAATTTAACCTGAACGCCGGTGAGAGTGTTAATAACTTGTTTTTTTTTTTACTTGTGGCAATATCTTTCTTTGTCAGTTTTAATTTGTCTATACATCTTTCAATTATATTTATAATTTTTTTGTTCTGTACAGCTCTGCAAAAACGGATAAGTGCTAAAAATTAATATGGTGATTGTTTGTATACTTCCAAGCGCCGGTGCGTAGTAAATTATACTTACTATTTTAATTGTAACTCTCGAATAAAACTGCAATTATATAATGGAGAACGACATCAACAAACCTTATAAAATCTGTGATGTTAACCGAGACAAAAAGAAAGGTATAGTAGCTTCGTCTTTGGAAGATCTACTTGCAAAAGTTCCGGAAAAATTGGGTTTACCTAGTGAGAATTTGACAGTTGTCCTAGAATGTGATGGTACGGAGGTCGACGACGAGGAATACTTCTCAACACTAGACCCCGATACGGCACTCATGATTTTACACGGTAATGAAAAATGGGCCCCGAATATGCCGAAGTGTCAAGTTTCGCTAGACCAAACGGACGAAGTGTCGCTTGGAGACAAGGGACAGGTCGCGAATCTTGTAGGAAGACTACAACATAATCTTTGCCACATTTCATTACTTGGGGGGCAAGACCTGGAACTTCTCTCGGATATGGATCCAGATAGCCTCGCTGATATTGTAACAGATCGGGACAACCGAATTATTTTAGAACATATTAAAGAAGCTTCTGGAAGGTATGCTCATATAACATTTACATAAGTAAATCTAGGTGCATGTAATTTAGATTTTTATTTCCAAGTCATAAAATAATAGTCTTATTGTTCTATCTGTTCCTTTTGCAACACACTTTTCAGTTTTTTTGGTATCTTGAATTATTTCACAATAGTTGACTATCAAACTGACATAGTTCAGTTTATAGAAAATTAGAATTAAGAAAATTTGTGCAATTTGTATTTAGTTGATTTTAAATTTTTTGATGTGTTTTTCAGGATACTTCTAGAAAAACGTCAAGCCCAAGATGCTATGGAATTACTAAAACTATATCATCAGAGTGTAGCAAATGGCAATGAAGATGTGTCGCCACCAAGCCAGGAAAGGATTTAAAAACATTAATACAACAAAACAATCTCAACCTCAACAGTGTCCTACTAATCTGACCCTATATTTATTTCTAAGGGATGGTAAATCTCAAAAGTTTACAAAGAAATATTCTTACTTTAGACTCCCTTGCTTGCGAATAGTTTTGTATGAATGGGCAAAAAGATAGAAAAAAGGTATGGCTCAATAAAATTACTACTTATTAATAATTATAATATTGTTATTATAAGATTCCAAATAATAATTCCATTAACCACACCAAAAATATGAGGCCTTTTTTCAGGTAATTGCTATTACAAAATAGTTGCAATATTCTGATTGTTACTTTTATAGACTCATTGAATTGAATATGCAGTTATTAGGTATAAGAAGCTATTCTTATGAAAATGAGCTAAAATGAAATAATCTTAAAACATACTAAATATAACATATAGATTATATTAAAGTTAGTAATTGTTTGTAATGTCATAAACTGTAGCATATATAAGTATATGTTACCAACATAATTCCACAGTATGTATTAGTTAAAACATGTTCCATTGTAAGAATTGAAAATAATAATATTTGAATTGAAATATAAGCCATGCATTGATAGAAAGGTAATGTGTTAGGTATTAAGAATTTGTAGACATTGTAAAAGTATACTCTCTAATCAAAACATTTTATATTATTCCATTTTGTTTCTGTGCCTATGGTAATGTAATTGTGGCATAAATATTGCAATAAAATCTAAAACAAAAGCTATAAAACAGTGTTACAATCATATTGACGGATAATACTTTTTTGGTGGTATTAAACTATTTTAGATTTTTCTATTTCCTGTTTTGTCCTTATTTTGTTTGTTTGCCAAAAAATATATGAATTAAGGTTTAATTTTAGTGAATTATAAATGGTACTGCTTCATGTTTAAACCCCATAATTGGGCTAATATTTGATAGAATAATCTTTAAAACTATTTTTTCTCATTTAAATTAATTTCAGACTATGAATTTATATGTTCGTAATGTCCTATTTCATTTCAATAATAAATCATTGTAATTCAGAGTTACATTCAACATCTTTTGATCTCATAGGACAATGTTTATAATTTTTTATTCATGCTTTTCTGTTAGAAATCATTTCAATCAATTTAAATATTTACTTGTTTTGTATTTTGTTTAATACTGTTGGTAAGAAGAATCTTATTAGAAATTTGTTGTAAAAACTTAGTATATTCTTATGGTAAATATGATATGGACAATAGATACGCTAGTATTAATCATGCTCCAACTTGTTTAATTATTTCTAGCGCTTAGTTTGTTATTTTTGTAAACTTTTGAGAGACAAGTTGCTACAAGGTTGATAATCAACATCAATTTAAAAGACTGATAGTTGGTAAATTTATTTTTTTTATATAGTTTTACCCCTAGAGTAAGATTTATTCATTTAATTCCAAATTTGCTCAAACATTTTACAAGTATTAAATAAGTTTCACTTATGTTCTACTCCACTGCCACAAACCAATATAAATTTATGTATATCCTCATTGATTAGAGATATAAGCGGACTGTAGGAATTGCATGGTGAGAATTACATGAAATAGTTATCGGACAGAAAAATATTTGCTTTAAGATTTATTAATTTGTGATATTACCATTAAATTTATTTAAAGCACAAACAGCATATAACTTTAACATAATTTTACTTGAAACATAAAGCTTATTTAATGAATCTGCACCTATTATATTCAAATGTAATCAGCACTTTGTAGCTCCAAAAATCATAAACTCTATATGAGATATAAATTGAAGCTAAACTATTAGTATGTCATAAAATGTACTTTTAATTATATAAATTTTATATAATTATTATGCAGTATTATAATATTATAGTATTACAATGGTCTAACAATGCATTTTTTTGTCAAGAAGCACTAGTATAGAAATCCAACTTGATTCAATCACTGTTGTGAATGTGAAATAAACATTTTTAATATATTTGTATAGATGAATAATAAAGATCTTGTAGATGCTAACAACTTAACACTTATAATCATGTATGTAAATGTAACACCAATTTAGTTTATAATGTATAACACTATACTGAAATTACTCTTTTATAGGCATGGGTAAATCAGTAAACAATGATGTGCAGATCAGTTTACGGATCACACAAGTGAAATAGATCTGTAAACCTACTTGCAGCTCAGCTCAATTTATATCTGCTCAGTTATACTTTGCATTTATAGCTGTAAACTAACAGTCATTAGGCAGCTTGAGGCTCACATCGTACATAATGATGAGTCATGAGCTGACATTATGATTGCTGAGCTGCAGCTTAATAGTTCAAGTCAATGTGACATGAACATTTGGTTTTATATATGGTTGAGTTGATTTATACATGTCCACTCTTTCATTTAATAAAAAAAGACAGTATGCATGTAACATATAGTTCAGATAATAAAATACATAAACTATAATTTTGATTGATAATTAAATACATTTTATGTTGTAAAGCCAAATATTCTAACAGTTGTCACTGAAATATATATTTAAATTGTTTAACAGAAACCAATTACAGTGTTATTTGGAATTGATAGTTTTTTCCATGCACTAATAAACACTTTCAAAACAAATATGTGTTTTATTTAAATGATTAAAGACAAATAAAAGAATGGTATAAAATAATCTTATTTATTTAGTCACACAATACAAGGAAAGGTACTTATGCAAAACAAAACCACATCAGCATAATAGTTTATAAGCATTTCTTTAATTATAAAACAAATATATGTTTTAATCTGTATCAGAATAATAAATACATTTATTTGCAGTTGTTTATATGATAAGGAAATTTTACATAAATAGTACAGCAATTGAAAGCAAACATAATTACTACAGCACAAATAACTTTTAAAAGTAGTATGTAAGCTTAGAGTACAGTGCAAGAACTTTTTTCACGGAAGGGATTGACTTTTTGACTGGAAAATCCGACAAGTAAACAGTCCTCATGCTCGTGATCGTCAATATATCTGACGATATCTGCCACTGCCACGGAAACGGGAATACGCTTAATAGCAGCTTCCCGTCTAAGCTGTTCCGTGACAGCGCGCTGCTGTTGCAAAGTCGATACCATCATATCCATTACGGCAGTGTCTGATAGGCCTATGTTGAAAGCGAAAATAAACAGTCCAGTTAGTTCAAGATTGGGCGTAGCCTCCAATAACAGATTACCTGAAAAGTAGTATTATACACAATATTATCTATTGCACACTTTAAAATTGATTAAAATAATTATTGCAAATAAAGTACGTTGTAAAATGCAAGAAAATTATATACCCACCGAATAAATAAGGTTTTAGAAATAATCAAAACCACTGCCCTGTTTTTCCTCGATTTTGACAGTTTTTTTAATGTTGCAATCAACATTTATATATGTTCCTACATATTACAGCAATATCTTCAATTTCTGTCTTTAGTTCTTACTAAGTTTTTGCATGCATGACGCACTTTAAATATGGTTAAAAATAAATCTCTCAAACCGGGTAACAAATTCAACTATAACTCAACAGGTGATCGGTCTATAGTAGTGGAAATAATTAGTATTCATTTTGCTTCACGTTATTCTTTGTCTTTTATACATTGCAATACTAAACTTAAGTGTCAAAAGTCAAAACTCTGGAACTCCTCGGAAATTGCAGCAGTCTATTTTAACTTCAAAAATTCGAACCAAATCTGAATACAATGGAAGGCGACGGTCTTACTGCTTCCAAAACATTTTCAGGAATTCCGGAAGCTGTCTTTGTAGTAAGTTTATACGTGTTTTTATAAAAATCGTGTATGAAAAATAAACATTGGTTTAAAAATTTCTCATCCTTGTTAAAAATGCAATATTGAGAGGTTACAAAGTGTACACCTGGTTTTATTTTTATCGTTTGTGTTTGAAATTCTATTTCTTTATTATTTCTATGAATGAGATGATATCCGTATGGGTGTAAATATGAAATATAACTTAATATGGATTGATAAAAACTTTTTATTTTAGGATAATGTCGATGAATTTATGAATCTACCTGAAAACTCCGGTGGTGTAGATAAAGTTTTAAGAAGACTGGACGAGCAACATGCAAAATACAAATTTATGGAAAGTACTTTGGCTACAAAGAGAAGACGTCTACGTCAACAAATACCTGATCTATCTCGTTCATTAGAAATGATAGAAAAGTTAAAGGCTCAAAAAGAAGATATGGAAACTCAGTTTCTTTTGAGTGATCAAGTGTTTCTAAAGGTATGTAACACTTATTTATTTAGATGCTACTTTTTATATGGCCTTATGATAATTAAATTTTCAGGCAAACATTAAACCATCAGAGACTGTCTTCTTATGGCTAGGAGCCAATGTCATGTTGGAATACTCTTTAGAAGATGCTGAAAACTTATTAACAACAAATATGGCCACAGCAAAGAAAAATTTGTCTTGTGTGGAACATGATTTGGACTTTTTACGGTGAGTATATGAGGTTGAATCCATAAAAATTGATGTAGAGCACACCCATGTGTTAAAAGTGGTTGTAAAATTGCTCTGGTATATGAATTGATTTAAGCTCACCAAAAATGCTATTGTGTTATACTGATACTATAATGTTATTAATGCAAAATGTTTGAGGGATGGATGTTTATTATGTCATAAACCTAAAATGGCTTAACAGTTCTAGATGAACTTCGGAATAAGGACAGATTACAGTGTGAACCTTACTGTCTACTAAATATTTTTTTGATTGTTTACCAATGAAGTTGTAGACAACAGCTAATAACTTTTTATAATAAATGTATTAATTATTTCTGATTTCAGTGATCAGTGGACAACTATAGAAGTAAATATGGCCAGAGTGTATAATTGGGATATAAAGAAACGTCAAGCCGCTAAAGCCTCTAGCCAATAAGTTGATAACATTGTTTTAAAGAAACAGAACAGTCCTCACAACTTGAATTTTAATGTTAGGCTAAATTATTTTGTAACATGTTAATATGAGGAAAAAATTAATGTGCTTTTCAACAGATTGACTATGAAGTCATGTTTGTGTAACAGTTATGATTTATTTATTTTAATTTGAAATGACATAACATAAATATTAATTATATGTAAAATTAGTTATGCAGTTTTGATATTATAACTCTGTTATATTATGCATGTTTAAAAGTATTTTTATTTATCCATCTTTAATATACTTTAAATATTTCTAATAAAGATGTGTAAAGATTAAAAGGAATTTTTTATTTTTTAAATTGCAAACAAACATGTTTTTTTACCAAAA